CATCTAGGAGTTAAAAAGAAATTAGTATAGTATGCGTTGCATTCGACACTAATTTTCTTGTTTCTCTTACACTGTAGCTTATTTTCAGCGTTGCCTATTGTGCCTTTTAATGGTTTCTATGGCGACATTGTGATTTTTTTTAATAACGCTTTAATTGTTTATATATATAACAACGTTGCCGTCCCAAAATGTGGGCTACAGTCCTTACCTTCTCTGATAATCGAAGGTTGTGCGACGCACGAATAGCTCTGGCAGTTCTTATAATTTCTCAGGGTAGTATGGAAACATTTTCTCAGCAATTTTTCTAATTGGTTGATATATACTTATTCACTACGGCCGTTTCGAGCTAACCGCTCATCCTCGGGTGTTTAAAATTTAAACTAAAATCATATTACGTTTTCGAGATCGTGAGTCAGGTATTCACCGTTCGATTTTCGCGTCCGCGTTCGCGATGTGACTGATACCCTGGTATTCGTCAGAGTCAGTTCTGCCAAAAGAAAGGTAAACGTCACTATATGTATACTGGTACAGGTAACCATCCCTCTGGCAAAATCGACTTTCAATTTGCTGTGTGAAATACAGCGTGAAGGAATGGTAAATTCTATCAATCTTTTTTTTCAGTGATGTCTCTCCTCCTCACCCCCCTTCATCTTGTAGTTGTAGTTCATCCTACTTATGTTTTTCTTCATCTCGTTTCCTCTTCTTTCTATCCGAAAAAAAAAAACTAATAAGTGTTCTAACCAACAGTGATTGTCCCAGTGTTGTAATGCAACTGCAGCCACACAAGATGGTCAAAAAAATTGAGCAAGAAATATAGCATTCAATACTTTGGTCGTTACGTTTTTCTTCCACAAAACCACTCTGCAATGCTGTCATGTTTAGCAGTATAATGACTATCAGTGCATGCATATTCGATGGCGTTGTTAAAAATCATAGTTTGTGTCCCTCATCACGGTTTTTGTTACTAAGAAGTACCCTGCGCTGGGATTGGCGGCTCGGATCGTACATCCTTTTTCCACCAAAGTAGTTATTCAAATTTGAAAAAAGGCGTCTTAAGAGCAATTTGGGTAGAATCTCTCGGTAATGGACCAGTTGCAAACTTTTGCTAGAGCAAAAATAAGAGTTGTTCCTTACAGATAATGTCTCAAAAATCACGATTAGCGCATCGGCAAACTCTGAAATGCACTCTTAACTTCACAATCTGCGTAAGAAATTTGCGTTTTTTTAAGCTTCCCGCTTCAAAACGGATACTACGGCACAGGTGAACATTTCGTTAGAGGAGTCATTCCATTCAATCCCTGCTCAACATGGCCGACGCTACCGCGCGCAAGTTGAGGAGAGCACGAGGTCAATCAAGACGGATATCTATCAAAGCGCGAGAAAATTATGAATGTAAATACGCCAATTGTTATCAAGTGGTTAGAATTATCGTCCCGTCACATGTGTTTTGGCGGATTGGCGTCGGCTATGTTGAATATTGCGCGGTATCCTTGTGAGCAGGGGTTGGGTGGAATGACTTCTCTTACAAAATGTTCACCCGTGCCGTGATATCGTTTTTGAGACACTTTCTGTAAATAACAACTCTTATTTTTGCCCTAGCAAAAGTTTGCAACAGGCCCATTATAAGTGCCCACCCTCAATGAATAGTATTCTGTCCAAAACTCAATTTTCGAAAATTTGGCGTTTTCGTTCTCCCTCAAATAACCCTTTCAATACGAATGACCACATCGACAAACAATACTCTTTTCCTTCGAATAGTATTAAATATCATGTACCAGCTCTCTCGTGACTGTTGGACGTTTCGATGCCGCAGCGGGGATTTTGGGATGCCAAATTTTCGTCCACTGCGCAGCGTCGCGGACGCTCCAGCCGGAGCGCCGATCGGTTACATTGTTCCGCAGACACGCTCCTGAGTGAAAGTTTGCTCCTCGGGGGAGCGGGGGCCAAAAAAGGGGGGCCAGGCGCCCGCCGTAGCCGTCGCTGCGTCCACGTCATCAATGCCTATTATGACGTCACCGCCGTCGTTGCCGAAATTCGCGCGTCTTCGCCGCTCAGCCCTGGCCGGCGGGGTAGGTGGACGCTTTCGAATTTTTTAAGCCATTCGGCAGCTCTGGCGTTGCGACGACGGAACGCATTGTTCGGAAGAAAGAGGAGACCGAAGTGATGCCCTCCGTACTTGTCCATAGTTTGCCCGTGAAATCTAGCCCCCCCCCCCCCCCCCCCCCCCCCCNGCCCTTCTCGGACAAGCTTAACACGAGGAAAATGGTTCAGCGTCTACGGTGGACCGATTGGAACTTAAAGAACTTGAACAGAAAACCCAAGAGATGGGCACAGAGCCGCCTTTCATCCCCGGAGGACCATTAAGTGATCTCTCTTATCATCATCATATTTTATTAATTTAGAGGCTAGACATACAGAGTCACGACCCTAGTCAAAAGTTAGAAAAAGAAGAAGAAGAAGAAGAAGAAGAAGAAGAACGAAAATCCAAGACTAAGGGGCCAAATTTTGTTGGCCTCGCATCGGAACGCCACGATCGTCACGTCAAAGGACGCCAATCAGAGGACGAGGAGTGGACTTGAGTGCATCCGCGACTCAACCTAAGTACACTTATCTATGCATATTCTTGTTAAAGGAAGGGGACAGTCTTGAGGACACTCTAAAGCAAGGAGAGGGTCCAGAGGAGAACCTCCTATGTCAATTTTCATGTATAATGTAGTCACTGATTCAGCATTCAATATTAAACTATTTTCCGTACTTTTCGGCCCTTTGTTTACTAGAAATAAAGTAGAAAATGGAATAATAGAATCCACAAGTTCTCTCATTCCTCACGATCAGAGATACTTATCTTTAAAAAAGGCTAATCGTATTTGATCTTTACAAAATTATTAAGACAATGGTTCTCAGAAAGAAACGTAGCGCGAGGAGTGGGAGNGGGGGGGGGGGGGGGCGAGTGAAGTGTGTTTCATGTTGAAGGGAGTCTATCTTATGGGGGAAATAAAAGCTCATGGCTCTTTTCAATTAAAGCATTCAAATCTTATGGAACGAGAATAATGTGTGTTTTTCGAGTAATTAAGTAATCGCGCTTCCTGATATGTGTGTTGCCTATGCGGCAATATTAAAGGCGAGAAGTGAACAGTATCTAGCGATAGGTTGACGCACCCTTCTTTGACTATATCGGAGATATTTGTTTGTTATTTTTCGAATGGATAAATATTCTCGCTCGACGGTATGCTTTTTGCCTTTGCGATAGAATTGAAGGTGAATCTAGAGTCGACGATATCTGCCAATTGGTTCACGCAATCTTTATTGGCTCTATTGAATTTTATGGTGCGAGGTACATGTTTGTTTTCCGAATTGATAACTGCTCTCCGGTGTCGCTAGGTAAAGTGAAGACTAACTTTTAATAGAAGAAAAAATATCATGAGGCGCACCACATTGGACTCCGGGTTTTGATTATATTAACCACTACAAAATTAATTATAAATATTTAATATTTAAATAACAGCGCGAGATACAATTCAAGATTTGGCTCTTTTCTTAAAGATTATCGCCATCCCCCCCCCCGAAAGTTCAGCGAAAGTTCAATTGAGGGGCAAGGAGGGCAAGGCACAGAAGTGCAGATTTTGAAAAAATTTAGATATTGATGATTTCAAGTTAAACTAATCTCAATGCATGTTCTGAGAAGAATTTTCTCTCAAATTCCAATTTTTAAGCATCAAAAAGTCAGCATGAACTTTCATTCTGCCATAAGGTTCCATGTAATTTCGAAACTTCAAAACTATGCACTTTTTCCTCCAAGCACCGCAATTTATCGGATCGATTTTCAAGTAATTGCAAGCCGATTCCCTGATACGCACATTTAATATACGCAAACTAGAATGAACCTCGACGATCTTCAGGCTGCATTTATCCCATGTCCCTTCGACGAAGACGCAATTCGAATAACTGTATGGCTGTCAGAAATCGGAGGGATTTCTCTAGACGTATGACAATTCATTGGTGCAGTGTCTCAACAGTATCTATCACTCCTGCGGGTGGATCGGTGAATCGTTATCGAATGATCCAGGATCCTGATCGAGAAATCCCTATCTTGACAATGCTTTCTATCGATCAAGGTCATTCGATAACGATTCAATAATCGAGTCGCTGTGAGCCCTCCGACGGGGAAGATTAGTGAAGGATGGACGAGGGAGACCAACTAGTGACTTTGACCCAACTTCTGTATTTTTATCTACATGGGCATAAATGGAGAGAGGGGCCAAGACTTTCATATCCACCGCGGCCAGGGTGAATACTGAATAATTTAGTCATTTCCCGTCATGTCAGCATCCGCTCCACGCTTTACTTGCCAGTTTGCTCAAAAATAATTAAATTTCATCGAAGCAACGGAGCACCGGTTTAAATTCAACGAAACCGGTTTCATAATGGGTAGGTTGCGCAAGTCACATAGTCGTGTTCTGATGATTGGAACTGTGGGACTCTTTTATCAGCAAAAATGATACATTGCACCCAAACTCGAGGACACCATGTTTAATTTTAACAGATGGAAACCATGATGTTCGAATGGCGTTACATCGTGGAGTCGATCATTCATATCATCCTTAGACAGTTCACCCCTGCCATGGCTGCGTTATTTGTAACGCTTAACGCTGCATCTTTTTTTTTTAAACATGTTAAAAGTTAACTATTTGTTGGTTTATGCAAGTTAATTATTTTACTTTGAACTGCTTTTACGTCATACTTAGCTCTCCTCTTGGGGTCAAGAGGAGCGTTACATATTTTTTTAGACCTGTATAATGTGTGCATCAAGGGGGAGGGAGGGGGCGAGAAAATCCAATTTTTACTGTCTCGTTCTTTCAACGGCCCTTTTGATCCTTTTGTGAAATTGTGTGAATACCAGCCATATCAAATCATATCTTGAAATTACGATGCACGCAACATTATTTTATGTAGATGAAGGTCCAATGTTATTTCTAATTATTTTTCTTCTACTTTTACAGATTAATTCCATTTGGGCCAAGCCAGCGTCCGGAGAAGTCGTGCACACTATTTGGCCTTCACAAACATGTACGTAGATTTTCAAATCACAGCCCACGTTAATTTCGAAGCTCCCGCAACTCGATCCTTGCGCGAGATCTCCTCGATGGATGGGTCACGTCCAGTGGCGTAGCGTTCCTTGCGATGTATCGATTTGTGTACCATTTAACCTATGGAAATGGATCGATAAACAGGGTGTTTCCAATGAATACCTTAATAATCGACTTTTTACCATGGCTTCAAATGAGGAAATATCGATGATCGATCATTCAAGCTACGCCACTGGTATCATCCATCAAGAACGTCCTCAAATTTAGAAAATCCACGATATTCTTATATTAGAAATGTTTAAGATATAAAATCGGGAAAATAAAGGGGGAAAGAAAATACTAAGTACCATTCAAGTTCTCTTCATACCCGGCGTATATTAATAAAAAAAAGTCTGACCTTTCGGTAAAACAAACAACCATCACTATCTTGCAAGTAACCGTGAAATCTTCCTTTAGGCAGGTTCAGACCTCATTTACTCAAGAAAGTGTCGAGATTCTCTCTGCAAAAGATACTTGAAGAGGGGTGGAGGAGACCTCCAGGAGGTTATTCGAGTCGAGGTGGTTTCGAGTAGGGCGGACTTAACATTCCGGTCTCTTAAAGTGCCGCAGTCCAGCTTGTCCTGAAAAGAGGAATCGAGTTCTCATAGGAAACTCAAAAATCGTTATAAGCACTTCGGAAAAGTCCAAAACTAACTCTTAACTTTACACACTGCCCAAGAGATTGTGGAGAATTTTGGGGTTTACTGCTTCAAAATGTGTGCCATGGCAAAGATATTGCGCCTACGTCGCGCCAGAAGCCTAAGTCTAGTTGTAAGTAGCCGAATTGCAAATCGGATCCTGAGTGCTTAACGCTTATTCTGACGAGTTCGCCTTCAAAAATGTGACAGGCAATTTGAGCGTCTTCAGAGCAGCAATAGTTGCTTGTACCAGTTTAAGCGTGTAAATTCGGTTCGGTTGTAGCAGAAAGAGGACATAAAATAATTTCAGTCAGAGTGCTTACTCTGACCAGTTCGTCATTCAAAGTTTGATAGGCGATGTTACTGTTTTGGGAGCTGGAATTGTTGCTTGCACCGCCGGTTCAAACATTTTCATGTTCGGTCTCCTCTCAGAATGTTGCGCCTTAAGGCTATAGCCTTAGCCGAATGGCAAATCCGGCCATGATCCCCACGCGAGGCTAAAAATGGCCGCCGTCTTTTCTCGCAGTTTTTTTTCTTTTTTTGATCAGAAACAAACGGTATAGCAAATTTCGTGTATCTGACATCTTCATAATTAACTTTTCTCGATTTCAAGTTAGGTTTGATAAGTAGAAGTACTTTTATTGTTTGTTTTTAAAAGGAACTGTGATAAACGAAAGCGCAATTTTCAGTTTTGTGAGTTGTGAAATCGAGGTGATCCATGTGCATCAAAATATCGACGGTGTAAGTCTGCAACCGCACTTATCTCGGTTTGCGACGTCGCACACTTCCTGTCATACTTTATTTTTTAAACGGAAAACTGCTCAACGGCAATTCTTTAAAACTGCCGTGATTTTTCTTCTCTGTGGGAAGAAAATTCTGCAAAAACTTCAAGGAATAATGTCAATTTGTTCTCCTTTAAAAAAATAACATAGAGGCGGAGATTTTCAGACACCGCAAACGAGATATGTGATTGCGGACTTGCGCCGTCGATATGTCTCAGCCGTAAAATTATTTTTGAAGCGACGAGCTCAAAAATGCGCAAATTTCTTCGGGAGCAAGCAGTGAACTTCCGACCCTCCCGCTACAATCAACGTCGTTTTTGGGGAATTTTTTGTTCGAGCCAAAGTTCGCAACGGACCCATCACCGGTAGAACGAGCGTCGAACATGAACGTACGCAGAGCTCTGATTACGAGGCTAATGCAGGGCTAATGAAAATAGAATGCAGCAGCTGGTGCACGTAAGAGGGCGGGAGTGGAGTCCCAGCTCGGGGAGTGGGGGAGGGGGGGGCAGACTTGGTCCGGGGTCCGGTCCGGTCTGCGATATGAATGGAGCCTGGTCCTAGTCTAGACGAATCGCGCGTGTTCGAGCCAGTGCAAGTGCCACAGTCGCGTAGTGCAACCTGCGACGCGACTCCAAGTAGTAGTGGGCTCTGTTGTCGATTCGTTGGAAACTTTCCGAATATTTCTCCGTTGATTGATGCGTTGTTGAGCTTATCCATGACTCAAAAACTGGAAAATGGTCTGGTCGCAAATATTTACCAAAAACGCCTGGAAGAGCAGCCATCTACCATGGCCATGGTGAAAAAGGCACTCTGTAGCGTAGACGAGTTTAATCGGGCGAAAAGCCTAAGGGCGCCGGCACCGCACCGGGAGGCACCACCAGGAGGAGGCTCGGACGATGCATGACGCATCTCATCAATAAATTGATGAGCAATTTGATGGTTATTGGTGCGGCGCAGAGTGAGGCACCTTGCGCAACCTGCATTGATCCTTGTCTCACACCCAGTTGCCGATTTGAGTATGTTTTTCCCTCCGCGTGGCAGGTATGCCAGTACGCCATTCACAATGTTTTCCATATCTAAGGGTCCGTCCTTAAATTACGTGACGTTCTAGGGGAAGGGGGGTCGAGGAGAGCTATACGCCATTTTGTTTTTACGTGTGTTAGAAAATGGGGACCTACGTCACTGAAGCGGTACGTGCGCGGAAGGGGCTCAAAAATTCCGAAAAATCGCATTACGTAATTTAGGGACGGCCCCTAATGCTTAAATTTTCGAAATAGAGTTTCCTTCAAAAGTTGTCTAATTTCGTTTAGATGAAATCACTGAAACAGCTAAAACAGCAAAATTCGCCTTATTTGCGTGAAAACGGGACCAATGGGAGAGTCGTAAGTGCGGAAACATTGACATTGTTTCAGGCAAAACAGCCATAAGATGTATTATTCCACCAAAAAGCCAATGAGAGGTGTAATTTTCAGTAAAATGGCGCTCTTTTCTGCAAATTTCTAACCTTGAAATGTGTTCCTTGTGTGTCCGAAATGCAGTCATGAAAACATGCCGAAGATATCACTTAGGTACGGGTTTATTACCTGACACTAGTTTAACACGAAAATAGTAGGGCCTCTTTGTCAAATTGGAAATATAGTTCATCTATTTGTAATCGACTAATCGTCCAAAATATTTGTATGGATCCTCTTGTTGATTTTTGACAATCCTACGAAAACCAATTACTCGTCACTAACAGCATTACTCGTATGGACACTTGAATATCCATTTTCTCCAAATTTCGTTTTTCACGCCTCTCTTTGCTCTCACGGTAGCATGCCATTTACTATAGTGCAACGAAAGTGCTTAAGAAGCGACGAAACGTATATGTTTCGTTGCTCCTTTTTAGGGAAGTTTCAGGTTTTGCCCCCGGGAAAGGGTCCCTAAAATACGTTACGCTGTTTTCCCAATTTTTTATCCCTACTCAACATGGTAACTCGGCTCTTTCCTCCCCGCTTCTCCTTCCTCAATGAACACGTAGCTCGTAGCTGTAGCAGTGGAGTTTCCATCCTCCTCCGTCCTCGCTGCTTTTCGCCTTTCAAATTCACAAGTGCAGCTGACAACGAGGTGCTAGATGAATTGAATCAGGTCCAAGGAAGCTGCAGACTAATCTTGCTATCGGTGGCGGTGTACAAGGACGCCAAATTGCTCCAGAGACTTACAGAGTTTCGGATTCTTCAAAGTAACCCTAGGGATTTTAGTTAGATACGATTCGCTTTTAAAAATACCATTTTTCCTTGAAAAGGGAGCGTTGATAAATTACGTGGCTTGGGCTCCTTTGGCATAATGTTATTTGCCCCCCCCCCCCCACGGGTTGTAACGCTTTGTAACGCAACCCCAGACCTCCCTTCACACTCTTCAGATCCTGAAAATTGTGGAAAACTGTCGAGTATTTAGCTGGATGAAATTTGAAGAATTATTGATTATAGCGCGACAGATAACGTAAAAGAAATGAGGATGATGCTTGCATTTTATTTGTGTTTTTGATAGTCCATAGACGATTCCGATTGCCTGGCGATAAGCAAAGATTAAACGAAGTTCCTTTAGATTATCTGTTTTTTACCAAAAAGAGAGAGCGTTGTAACGCTGGCACTGACCCTTCTCCCCGTGTAACGCAGGTTCATACCCCCTCCCCCGCTAGAGCGTTGCGTAATTCATGAGCGCACCCTGACTGCGTTTGAAAACTATAAAAACCTTTTAAGGTCTTTCAGAGATGAAGACATCTAAGAGTGATACCACTATTCGGCCACGTGAGAGCTCGGGTTATCTACACTGAAAACTGAAGGCAAACTGACAGTGAACTAAAGTCACCGCTCCGCACACCACGCTCGAGGAATTACTCTTGCTTCCTTCCCAAAGCAATTATGACAAATGAGAGCGATACAACTATTCGGCCACGTGGGAGCTCGGGTTGCCTACACTGAAAACTGAAGGCAAACCGAAAGTGAAGTTAAGTCACCACTCCGCACGCCACGCTCGGTGCATTAACCCTGCTTTCCTCTTCCTCGAGCAATTGTGACAAATGAGAGCTATACAACTATTCGGCCACGTGGGAGCTCGGGTCACCTTGCTTTCTTCTTCCTCGAGCAATTTTAGAGTGATACCACTCTTCGACCACGTGGGAGCTCGGGTTGCCTACACTGAAAACTGAAGGCAAACCGACAGTGAAGTAAAGTCACCACTCCGCACGCCACGCTCGGTGCATTAACCCTGCTTTCTTCTTCCCCGAGCAATTGTGACAAATGAGAGCGATACAACTATTCGGCCACGTGGGAGCTCGGGTTGCCTACACTGAGAACTGAAGGAAAACTGACAATGAGCTAAAGTCGGATCCACGACGTTTTCTTGGTTTTCCCTGGCGCTCAAAAATTCCCTGATGATTCTCGATTTTTCCCTCGATTTTTCCCTCGATTTTCACTTTAAAAAATTAAGTAAGCACTGCGCCAAGCGTGACGTAACACAGTCTTGACCTTTTCACCTGG